ATAGGAAAAAAAATTACTTACCTAATAACAACAATAAATATTAAAATTATTAAATATACATAATAGATTATATTTAATTTCAGGTTTATTAATGGCATCATCGATTTCGACCGCAAACTGTTTTTATTAAATTCATTGCTCCCTGTTAGATTATATTCATTAAGTAAAAAATGTTGGATTATTATTTTCGTCATTTTTGTTTTGAATTTTATTTGTATTCAATATTATTATATCTTATTTGGAGTTATTCGCATAAAAGTGGTTTCCAATGGTGTAAAAATCTTGTTCCATTCACCAGATTTAATTATTTTTGTAGTATTCGTTACAACACTTTACTATCTCAGTAACTTGGGGTTCCGATTTTGTGAGTTGAATAGATTGTGGAAATGTTTACCTTCGGGGTTAACCGCTTCRCCAGCATGTAAATGGACAAATTCTGAGATAACAATGTTAGTAGAACGTATACGATTATTGCATTCTGAACTTTCTGAGTTACTTAGATTGTTTACTTTGGGATACGGACCTGTATTATTRGTATATTTCACATTTACATTTGCTCATGCTTTAATCGAAACATTCCTTTTTACAATTWATCATGATCTTATGGGCAATAATATTCTTCCACATATACTCTACATACAACACATTTTTCACATGATTTCAATCGTCTACGTCACCTCGTGGGTCATTAACAAGGTTTGTAGTATTTTTACTATTTTTTAAAACAATAAATTACTTAAAGCCTTACTTTAAGGAACATTTTTTAAAACGCGATTTAATTAAATCTTCAATTCACAGATAGATTCAGTTATAACTATTAGTTATATTGTCCAAATTGGCACGATTATTTTTTAAATAGGTACTGCACTTATTGATATTTATTATAAACTTATAAAAGTAACACTCAGTTCATAATATTAATTTGTTATTAAATTAATAATTAAGAGTACGTACTAAAAGTAATGTAAGTATGTATAAATATTTTAATATTCTACCATGGAATTAGCTTTTTATTATAATTTACAATTAGCTAGGTTGCTAGGTATGTTTAAGAGGACGCCACACATCCGCGCATTATGTGTTGTCTCCGTCTTACAAACGTTCATCTCAGAAATAACTCTTTGGTGTGTAACAACTTTACTCCACAGTCCACCCTTTGTATTTATAGTAGAATCACCACAATTTTACAACGCACAAGAAAGAACTTTAGGCACCACGTCATTCTGAATCTGATGGACTTGAATTCAACGATATTATAATATATCATTATATAATATCAATATCATAGGAATACCCAAAACCTTCCTAACCAGAATAAATATTTCGGTAACTTTTTAAAATTATTCTAGGTGAAAAATATTTTGAAAAACATGGTTTCTTTAAATCTTATGGGTAAACAAATAATTTTTTTTACAAATCTCTATCTACTGTTGACTGCAGTGTATGGTGCATATATACGACAGTAATTTCGGTGATAATTTTCTTGAATCACTAAAAGACCATACGTTAACTGGTTACAGTTTGTTTCTCAAGAAGTTAATATCGCTACCTTCACCGTTTTCTTTAAATCCTCAGCACCCGTACCAAACTGAATACAGACTAGTTTAAAGGAGTACGGTAGAGCTGTGTGGTGAGTGGTAACTCAAACAATTACAGATAATTCAATTAGTTAGAAACAATGTTATTTATGTGTAGAATAAATATAAAAAAAAAGTTAAAAATTACTTGGCCTGTCAGTCCGTTTCTCTCGTACGATTATCAACCATTATAATATGCGCTTTCGCCGAATCCCTTGACAGCAGGACTCTTCTGCAGCCTGCGCGTGTGACGGGGTCTTGTGTTTATATTTTTATATAGAACATTTTATGTCACATATTAGCTAAAAACTAAACTCACCTATATTACCTACATATATATTAAATCATATTGTATTGACAACTGTCCACAATATTTTCAGAAAAGGAAAATTATTTCTTATTTGCGAATGAATCGAATCTCTGAAATTTCTTGCGATACTAAGTTACAAGTAAATAGTAAACAAAATTAATTTTTATTATATATAAAATAATAATATAAATATATTATTTTTATTAATCTTAGTTATTTTTACATGCTTATTGGAATATCTGACTTTTATCTCTGTTTGTTTTATGATTCTTATGTATATTTTGGAACAATCATCACTCATCAATTAGATTAAAATATTCATGAATCAGATATCACTTTATGAACCAAACGAATTAACAGCATTTGGATTCTTCAACTTGGATTTAAAATTAACGATGTCAGTAAGTACCTTTATGTTATAATTTCTAGCTATATAATATGCAATTAATTGTAATTTGTAAGTACATATAATTAAGAAAATAATTACCAAAAGGGAAAATTACATTTTAATAAAGTAGGTACCTATTTATCTATACTCACAGGCCACAGCATCGTCATACTTTGTTAAAATATTATCTATTTTGTCTTAATTTGAACTTGGAATGACTATAAAAAAAAAAATCATGGTTACGTAGCTTTGAAATTTTTGAATTGCTTGAATAATAACTTACGATGAACCGTGCATTCAATTAGTAATATGTTATTAAATAAAAAAAAACCATATCGACTTTTTTGAAAAGAACAAGCAACTGCGGCCGGTACGTACAGTTGGTGCGTTTCCGTAGATTGAGTGTACGATCGCGTCTCACAAAGTCATTTTTTATTTTTTTACCAGATTATTTAGAAAAACATTGTGAATTTCCAATTTTGACCTCTCAAAAGTACGAACTTGACATAACTTTCTATTCTACACCGGTACTATAGTTGAATATAAAATAATTGTTTCTACTTATTTTCTTCTACACAGATTCAATAAATAAAAATTAAAAACACTCAGCATTGTAAAATAAATACATTCATCGATCATATTAGAAAACAGAATCTAAGATTCTAAAAATAGAGAAAACATATTAAATTAGTGCACACTATGGTCAAAAAAACGTTGGGTTTCGTTTCAAAATTAAAAAAGTGGGGGTGCTAGAGTACCTAAGTGTCTTAGTTTTGCTTATCAGTTTGATGAGATCGGTTTTTTATTTGTTATTAAATAATAACAAATAATTATTTTTCATACTTAACTTTTTAACAATGACCATAAAACATTAAGACTTGTATCTTACTATAGTCTTATAACCCAAAGAGCCAAAATATTTGAAAAATTYAAAACGCTAATATAAATTGTTCAGTGTGTATTATAAATATCTACAGTTATATGTTTTTAAATTAGGTAGGTACCAACAAAAAATAACAAAATGGATTTTGTCAAAAATGTGTGTGAATTAGGTATTACTGTAGTCTGTAACTTGTGTTTGAATTTGATCGATTATTGAATAAACTCAGAAAATTATTATGAATTAAGTTATTTGTATTTAAGAAGTTTATAAAACAATGTTTATTTAAAATTTAAGGTAGGTATGTTTAAGTCAGGAATCTTTATATTAGTCAATAGAAAATTTACAGCTCACTTGATTACCTACATAACTGTGCTATTATAGATTTTAGTGTTATTGATTTATGGAGTCTCTACAATGCTGCAAATGAAAGACTATCCGTGGATGTTGTATTTAAGGAACACAATAGCACAGAGCAGCCAGTTTATAAAAGCTAATAATTCATGTATTAAATGCAATAAGGCAAGGATGCCGATCAATGGTTAGTATACCTATCTTGTATAATATAATACTCTTTCGTAAAGTATCGAGCAACTATTTTTTTTTCTGAATTTTTAAATCTATGTATTATGTATTTCATAAAATAATTTTAATAAGCAAACCTTTTTTTTTCCTGTTCGAAAACCAGGAACGGGTGGGAACTGTTCATCACAATACTGCCAACCGTCCCTGTATCGTTTATTCACCAAATAAGACAATCAATCTATACAACATTGGGGGCCTCTAACCACCAAAAAAAAAAAGCTGGCCATCAGTCTATAGAAAACAAAATATACTGCCCGTCCACCTCTCGCCTGCCTGCCCAAGTATCGTCTCCATCATCCTGTCAAATGCAAGCCTCTGTTTCTCTGCCGACACCATAATCCGTCGTCTCCTTCATATGTCATCTGGGAGGAGCTCCTGCTCCAGTCCCAGAATGATATTAGGGACATCCTCGGGCCGCAGACGCCGACCAATGCACTGCTCCATCTTATGTCTACCTTCCTCCCAGTCACCGCTGAACTAAATAGACAATGCCTAGGTGGATAGGTACATGATACAATAAAAATATAGGTACCTACTCTTCACTTACAAACTTAATATAAACAACACCTACAACCATATACTATGATCTGTGCAAGTCCAGCACTTCAATGTTTKTAACATTAAACTTCTAAAACATTTTCAGTCAGCAGCCTCATGACTTAAATGTCCTACCGAGTTTTACTCAGTAACACACTGGGTCAATTCAGCCCTGTAGACAAGTAGGTAGTTAATAATAATAGGTTTATAATAGTATACTAACACAATTCTCCAAATATAAATATATATATATATATGTAGTATTGTGGTACTTTGTTTCAAGTAATATTTAAGGTTTATCTAAGATCATAATTTTAAGTACATTCAATTTCTGAAAATATATATAAAAATAATAAATATTCAGAATACTCTGATTAACATTTAGCAAAATGTATAGTACAATTTTTTGATTAATTTATTATAATTAAGTATGGTAAATATAGTTATTTTGTAAAATAGTTCATATAATATTGTAATATTGTATGGGTTGTAGTGGAATAGTGGATAGTGATAAAAATGTATTAATAAGAATTTATAGATATAAACCAATATTTTTTTTACAGTAAACAATAAACATACTTTTATTACTAATTACAAATAATAAGTCATATAACTTCATAATTCAAATGGTATTTAAGATCATTTTATTCACATTCAACATTGAAAAAAATAGTATATTTAAGTAAAAAAAAAAAAACTAATAATAATATTTAAAATTTATTTAATTTTTGTAATTAATTATTCAACAAGTAGTATAAGTAAAAATATTCACTTTTTTTGTCGAGTATGAAAATTGCTATACCTGTAAACCATAAAATAAATGAGATGTATAAATATATAATATTAAATATACCAATTGCATTTCTTAATATAAATTAAATACATTTTACAATTTAAAATTACAATAACCGCTAATGTTGATTATAAATATTATCATTTATAATCAATGTCGCTAATCATATAATTTTAAAAATGAAATCTTCAATAATTGAACTTTGACAACACGAGTATTATTATTTTAGCCTTTTTAGTTCTCCATTATACAACAATATTAAAGGTAATATAATTGAACTATAAACATTAAGTAACTGTTGCCAGTTGCCACTTTATAAAAATAATCTTATTAAAACAATTAATTGTTAGCCTCAATCAAAATTAGTAGCATATTTGCTAATTCTAAGACATGTCTAGATTAAGATTCATTTGTTGCAGATTTCTTTTAATAATTTGCAACATAATCGAATGTTAGCAAGTTTGTTATAAACTATAAACATATACAGTAACTTTTTRCTCACACCTTACAATATAAATCAAATTACCTTCAAGGAAAAAATAAAAAATATATTATAAGAATTGAACATATAAGTGATAAATGTATAATACTACTCCTATAGTTACATACCATACAATTTGCTCTTCAGATAATGATGGTTTAACATTATCTAATGCCTCCTCAAAATGTTCTTTTTTAACAGTTGTAAATGTTTTAAGACCATCTTTAGTCAAACAAGATAGACCAGCCTAAAAATTAAGCAAGCAATTATAATTATTTATTTATTTAATTTTAAGTAATATTTAATATTTACTTCTTTTATAACACTCGCGAGATCAGCTGCTGAAAATCTATCAGTCATTAAGGCAACTTCATTTAAAATTGAAGAATCCAATAATGGCATACTAAAAATTAACATTTAATACTAAATTAATTGGAATAGTACATATAAGCTTAAAAATTAGTCAAATTTAACTATATACATTTGTTCAGGATTATTAACAATAGTATGAAGTATGTTAAAACGTTCTTCAGCTGTTTGTGGAGGAGGCACATAGACTTGACGATCAAATCTTCCTGGTCTTAATAAAGCAGTATCAATTTTGTCTGGTCGATTAGTAGCTGCTACAACTACAACTCCTTGTCCATACTATTAATATTTAATAAGATGATTTAAATAATTTTAGGTATTTATTTAAATATTGATTGTTTAAAATTTTAAATATAAAATAGTTACTTCTGTATCATTTGTGATACCATCCATTTCAACTAAAAATGTTGATAAAACACGGTCATCAAACCCAGATGACCCTTTTTTTTCTTCAGAACGACAGCTGACCAATGAATCTAACAAAAAAAAAAAAATTATAACTTTAAAATATTAAGAAAAATAAGGTTAAATAGGTATACATATTAAGTAGTTTAATTTACCTATCTCATCTATGAACAATACAGCTGGAATATTAGCTCTAGCTCTTTGAAACAATTGTGAAATATTTGCTTCTGTTACACCTAAATAAGGAGAATATAATTCGGCAGCCATTGCTGTAAGAACATTTAAATTGGCTGATGAAGCTATTGCACGCACAAGGCTTGTTTTACCACATCCTGGAGGACCATAAAGTAAAACACCTAAAAATAAAAACATTAATGTAATAAAAATTGAGTACATAATATGCATAGGTGTGTTGTATATAGCCTTTACCTTTAGGAGGTGGAACTGCAAAATATTTAAAAGCTTTTGGATGAATAAGAGGCCATTTAATACAAACATCTAACATGAGTTTCACATTTTCTAAACCACCCAAATTTGTAGTTGAACAAGATTCTGACTGTGTAATCACTTGGCCAACTCCTGATCTCAAAGATGAAGCTGGATTCTTGGAAATAAGTGAAATAGTACCAAACAATACACCCTTTTCTCTGAAATTCATAAGTAAATTATATTTTATGAAATATTTATTACAATTTATTTATKTAATATTATTACAATTTTAATTAGAAATTAACATACAATTCAGAAATTAAATGAGATTCATTAAGAATTTCTTTGAAAATTAATTCTAAATCAGCAGCAATGTATCCTGGTGTTAATTTAGCTAAATATGAAACATCATTAGATTGAATATTTATGTTAGAATTTCTACAATAGCCTTCTATTAATTTTACTCGTTCTTTTTCTGACGGAACACCAATATAAATCTAAAAATAAAATAATTATGAAATTGAATTTAAACAATATTGTGCTGTGGCTTATTAACACAACTATTACTTCATATGAAAATCTTGACCCTTGTTTAAAAGATGCATCAATTAAATGCGGCATGCTAGTAGTTGCAATGACTATAAATCGACAACAATCTTTAATTGATGTTAAACAATCTTGTATCTGAGCGCAAATTCGTTTGGCGTTAGAACTTTTACCATTAAGCATACTTTCAGCTTTCTCGAACATTAATATACATATGGCTGTAAAAATAAAAAATTCATAAATTTGAAAATATATATTTTATTAAAACTAATATTCACTTTTGCTATCCTGCTCTAATAATAACTGTACTTTTTTAAATAAGCCACGAATAACTGACTCTGTAGAACCCGGATCAGCATTTATGAAATCTGTAGATATTAGGTTAAAAAGTATGCATTTCAACGATGCAGCAACGTGAATCACTAAACTTGTTTTTCCACTGCCAGATGGACCAATCAATAATAGCTAAATAATGAAAATTAATTAATCATACTTAATAAATATTTATTTATTTATCAAGATTCAATGAGCTGAGACTTTTTTTACAATTGCAGCACATACCTAATCATTTACATTACATAATAATGCATTTACAAATGTGTACCTATACACATTTCCAATAATATATTTACCATATTACACAAAGAACTACAGCCATTTCTTGCAGCTTTAATGATGCTTTTCAGACATTTAACTTGAGATTCCATTCCAAATAAAAGTGGCACTTCTAATCCAATTTCTGCCTGATAAAATTGTATGGCAGACATCGTTTTAATAATTTTTATGGAAGTATCTGGATTTATACGTGCAGCATTGTTTTTGCAATCAGTCTTGTGTACAAGTATAAAATCCATATTAAAGTTTTGTCTCAACTTAAGCCTTTTCAAGTTCACTATACAATCATTATGTACTACAAACAACCGCAGTAAATGTCTGACAGCATCAGCCAACTTAAAAAGATTCTTGGACCATATATTTTGATGTTTCACATCTTTAAACACAACACTGACTTCTATACGTTTAGCATTTGAAACACAAATTGGTTCCATGTGATCTTTGTTAATAGGCATTTCTAGCCTAACTGTAAATGGATTGATTGGTTTGTGAGGTACATGATTAATAACACTTGGATCACAACTAGCAAATGCGTTTGTACAAATCACTTGAGGAATCAGTTTACATAATATTTTGGCATTGTCTGATACTTTTAGTAAGACATACTGGTTGAACTGACTACTGGCAAATACAGTGTCAGATGCATAGAATTTTTGAATCATAGACGTCCCTTTGTAATCCGGTATGTTGGACAAAAATATCTTGTCCATAATGATAACAATGGCATAGAATAATATGCAAGCCACTATGAAAATGTTGGGTAGTTACATTTTAAATAATAAAATATATTAAATATCAGAACACTAACAAATACATTTTGTCAACCAATGATTAAAACAAAATAAAGAATATAAAAGTAGRTTATTTACTTAATCTAATGAAAGCCATTAGATTAAAAACTGACAAAAATGAACAAACTAAGAAAACTAAGGAAGTGAACAAGTGAAGTAAAATAATAAAATATACCTTCAAGTTATTAAGAAAATTAATACTATTAAATGGGTACTTGTTCTGAATTCTGCTATGATTTAACATTAACAACAGGGCACAGGCTAACAGGCTTTACTTATTACTTTTACCACAGAACAATATAGCTTTTACCCACGTGTGCTGATAAGCTGTTATCAATGTTATCGTTATCATTTAATATATTTTGTTATTTATRTTCTAAATTTCTAATTGTTAGTTTATTTTAATGTTTATTTCTTTCTGAAGACTTGAAGTTGTTTTTTATATTTTATGATCTACGTGTTCTGTCAATTACAATTTATGTTTCAAACATTAAGTATGAAGTTTATTTAAAATATATGGTTTTTTCAGTATTCAGTCTACAATAAAAAAAAGTTGACTATTGCCAATAACTTGCTCTCAAAACTTATTTATCCTATTAATTCAAAACAGCGCTAACCGTAGTAGGTGATATGGTTCATAAATCACTAGAAACTAAACAAAAATTAAAATTAAAATAGAGTATAAAATTATGTTGTATAATATTTTTTTTTACAGAAGTATGAGCTCAATACGTCTCCTAGGAAGTATTACATTTGCCTGTTGTAGTGCAGCTGTTACAACTTTATTGTACAATTATTTCCACCAAGAAGAAACAGAAGTATTATTTTTTCATGGAACTCTGCCACTTTGTAATTTTCACCGCAATTTAGTTACTAAAACCTCAATTCAAAACAATGAGTGTTTTGAATGCAAACTAAACATAATAATTGGATGGCTCAATAAAACAAAAAAAACTTTAGACATTTGTATGTACATGTTTAATCATGAATTGCTAGCAAATGCAGTTATTGATGCTCATAAGCGCGGAGTCGTTGTCAGAATAATTATAAATGAAGATAATCTACAAACTACATGGAAAATGGGCAATATGGGTATTTCAAAAAGAGTTAATAAGGCTAATCACAATAGAAATTTAATGCATCACAAGTTTGTTATTATCGATAACAAAAAAGTTATCTTGGGATCTATGAATTGGACTAAAATGTCTGTTCGAGCAAATTGGGATAATTCATTTATTACAAACAATTGTGAATTGGTAAATCCTTTCAGAAAAGAATTCCAAAGGTTATGGAAACTGTTTAATTAGTTGTTAAAAATTRTAATGTATAAAATGTTCAGTTTATTATGATATATCATAATATTATATTTTATTGACTTATCACTTATATGATTTTGAATTTATTTAGTTTTATGTATGAAATAWAGTCCTATACCCACATTATATCCTTACAATTATTCATTGGCAACAAATATTAATGGATTTGTTTAATTATATGTATATTTGTTACTATTCAACAAAGAATAATCAGCTCACCTACAAGTGTAAGTCTTGAATAGAAAAGAAATCGATTCATCGTCAGTAAGAAATTTTTGGTTTAGAGTGATGTAAATAGTCTAATACACTTGGGGATAACATTAAGGTGGAAATTGATTATTCTCTTATGAAATTATTCAATATTAAATAATAGTCTACAATTATTGATAAAAAGTCTTAACGACTTTCATACGATTGAATAAATTTGGGAGACTTGATGAAAACAAAAAGCTAATGAGAAGCAGCGTGGTGCAGAGCAAGATTTAACACTAACAATAGTTCCATCAAAGAAATTAAAAATGCATGCTTAAAATCTGTATCTTCTTTTGAAAAATTCAAGTAGTCATACTATGTATATACTTACCATTAGAGGAACGTAACACTGGTATTTGTCTCTAAGTGTGTAACATAATATGCCAGTGTTACTTCCTCTTAAAGATAAATTTCACTAATCATATTTACCTGTAGATAAAATTGTTTGGATTTACTAAAAAAATTAAATACTAATGAATTTGAACTACTGGTTAAAAATAAAAACACCATTAAGTTTCTTTAATCACATACGAATTATTTTATTGTTTCAATATGTATACAATATATCGTAAGCCAATTTAGTTTAAAATTTATAGATTGACAGATCATGATTGTTATCATATGTATTCAAAAATGGATAATTACTTTAAAAAAATATTGATATAATTAAGTTTAATTCAAAATAAATTAATACTTGATAGGAACAAAAAAAAAATTATTTGAATAATTAAAAAAAAAAAATTATTTGTTAAATTTAGAATGAATTTAATCAGATTCGCTTCCTGAAAAATCATTGTTGCTGTTAATTTGATTTGAGTTGATTGACAAAATTTCATTATCAGCACAATCTTCGGTTGATTTATCGTCTTCTTCATTTAGTACTTCCTATAATTGTATTAAACTAAGTTAATTTTTGCTTGAATATTTAAATGAAATATATTTTTTTATAAATATTGGATTACTATTAAAACAGATAAAAGTAGAAAAATATGTTAATTTTTCAATAACTATCAAACAAAATTGTTTTGTTTTAGCTTGCAGTTTCCCAAAACAGGTAATTGTGTATTTGTGTGAACTGTGAATAATCTATTTAGTGTATACCTTTAATGTGTTAACGAGATCAGTAGTTTGTTCAAGTAATTTTTTACAAGATGCATTTTCTTCTTCTAATGCCATGACTATAGAATGTAATTTACGATTTTGTTCAAGAACTTCTTCCAAAGCTTTTCTACGACGTTCAGCAATAACCTCCCAATATTTTTCACTAGGACCAACTAAAATGGCAAGTTCATAATGATTAAATTTGTACTTGACATAATATTGTTTAGTACATAATACAATTTGTAAATGCATACCAGTGTTAGTAAGATCATCAATAATTAACTTCTTGTAGAGAGATGGATTAACTTTTGCAATTATAGATTTTTTTTCATCGGATTTAATTTCTACTTCAGCCTTAATTTGTGGCTTCAATATTTTAGTTTCAGAACTAATATAACACATTTATATATAAAAATAATAGTAATATTGATAAATATTAAATCTAAAAATAAATTCATACTTGTGTTCATGAAATCTGCCAGTTCCAACCAAATTTTCCTTATCACCACCAGACGGCTGCAATGTTTGCAAGAATTTTCTGGTACCTTTTTTGTTGGGCATCTGAAACAAATGTGTTTGGTTCAACGTTCAACAAAACTGTTACATATTCAAGTTGGTTGATTAAATTTTATGATTTTTTCTTTTTATTCATCAAAAACTAATAAGTTATTAGCTTACAATAAAATAAATATTAGCTTAATGCTTAATATAAATAGATACAATGGTTTTCTTGGATTAAGTTGTACATATCAATAAGTTTTATTTTATTATTTGTAATATAAAATAACACTTACCTTGTCCGAATTAATGTTTCTATTATTTTCAGAAACAGTTTTCATAGTTTTACTGTTGAACAGCTGTAAAAACGTCTAGTGTCAAAATGAGTAATGACGAATAGTGAATGCCGGTTAATGGTCGTAATGAATTTTTCTGATATATTCAAAACTGAAAAACGTTTGATAAATCTTTTGAAACTGCGCAGTGTCAGTGTCCAGTGACCAGTATGCTTACAATTCGAACTTACACAGTGAAAATTAAGTGGGGGGAAATCAGTATGACTGTCCGTAGTTGCAATAGTAACTTGCAGTGAACGAGAAAACTATGCCATTGCTCATCCTGTTGGATCTTGGAGCTGGATACACTGGTATTTTTTTATCACAAAACAATATGGCAGACCAGACCAATCATGGGCAATTACCATTGAACCACAATAATATCACAGATTAAGGGCCATTCTTACAATGCTCGGTTAGTGCCTGATAACACTAACCGCCAACCGGAAGAATTTATCATGAGTTAACCGATAGAATTCTACCGGTTAGTCTTAACCGACACTTAACCGGACATTGTAAGAACGGCCCTAAGTAAAACTTGGGTTTATTTGTTTATTAAATATATTGAAGATTGAACCGGTGTCCGGTATAGCTACCTAAAAGTCCGGCGAACAAAAGTCCAGTTTATTTATTATWCATAGGTATGTTGTACAAGAAAATATTAATGTTATTAAAAATAATAGCAATAATTTATAATACAATTATTTCAATCAATGTTATAGGTATAGGTAGGTACAATAAAAATTAAAATATTACATAAAATAGGTATCTATAACATTATAATTTTTARGTTAGGAATTCATAACTTCGAGCTAAGTGTTGAAGAGTTTTTAACTCAAGTGGGATAATTTTAGGACACGCTCAAGGTGATTAATGTTTTCTTGTACGACATAAAATTTTATTTTTATTTAAAAGTCCGGTAAAAAAAGACCCGCGAAAAAAAGTCCGGTGAACAAAAGTCATTTAACTATTTTCAATTATTATTGCTTCTTACATTTTACAAAGTTACTGAATTTCGGCAATTTTTACTATAGGTATTGTGGACTTATAGAATAGGTATATATGTTACGGTCCAGGTGGATAAATGGTC